TTAAAATAATGTTACAGCAGCAGATTTCAGACACTGACAATTGCTGACATTTGAATATGTCATCCTGAATGAAAAACAGTGAAGCCATTTCCTTCTGGCAGAGAACATATGTGCAGAATCTGCTGATTTGTTATTTACTCGGAAAAAACTAAAATATATTCCTATATAATGCTAGCTGTTTTTAGAAATGCAGAAAATACCAAAATTAGATAAAGTAATATTTGTCAAGAGGGTGATTTATTCTTAAAGTATTTTATTACCTGACCACAAAACCTATATGCTGGAAACACCCAAGCATGCTTGGGAAAAAATAAAAAAAAAGAAACTTGTCCAAAACTTGACTGTATGTTTGAATCAACCTTATCCACAACTTGACTGTATGTTTGAATCAACCTTATCCACAACTTTGTATGTTTTAATCAAACAAAGGTATGTTGGACAGCATCAAACATTCATTTTTAATGCCTCCAGTGTTTAAAATGTTATTACTTTAAAAAAAAAAAGCACAAAAGTTAAACAATGTAGGATTAAAAATAGTTTTCTCCTTACAAATATTTATAAGAAAGGTTACTTGATATGTTGATTTTTTATTTATTGCAAAGATTTACTGTTTAGTGAACAACAGTTATTGTGTTTATATGTGAATTGGCACATTAATGAGCGTGCTTTCTTGTGTTTCTGTGAGAGCACAGCAGATGGAGAGACAAAGGATTAGCATTTTTAACTTGTATAGGTATGGCTTACTTGGAAATCGGTTCATTCCTAACAGCTTCTAAAATAGTATGCAGGATTTGGGATGGTTAAGCTATACTACAGGGTTAATTCTATCTTGTTCTCTGAATGCACTCGTCTGAATGCACGTACAGAGCCCATGCTGTTACAACTTGGCCATGTCATTATGTCCTGGACATCACAATACTGAAGTACTTCTAAGAGTTACAATTTGTAGCGTTACAAAACACAAGCATAACCCTTTATTATTTTTCTTTTTGTTAAACAAATACACATTATTTACTAGTATATGTACACTGAATTTTTAGATATTAATGTGTGCATTTTTGTTTTGCTATATTTAAAAACGTATAGGCATTAAATGCGCTGAATCATATTTGGAACTTTTAAAATTGTGATACTATCCTTTTTTTTTACAGAGTTTACAAAGCCGTACAAATTATTTTATTTAGCATTTTTAATGTATATTCTAGTTGTTTAAATTGCTGAATGTTTTGTAACATTACTTCGAATGATGCCTTAATTTTTTTACTGAATATAATAATAATTACATTAGGGGTAAAAATATTTATTTTAATTGCCGTCTTATTGAGAAACTTAGAAATATTGAATTTGTTAGTATGATACCTGAGCTTCAAACAGAAATGAGCTATTTTATAACCTTTTTAGTAAAGGTTTTATAATATAATGCAGATACCCATTAACAAAAGATATATTTTTAACCTAGTTCCTAATATATTAAACAAATTATAGTTTTCTTCGGTTTTGACTGATTGAATCTCACAAACAAGCTTTATATATGTAGTCAATTTTGTCTAGAAAGTTTTCTCCTGCTGACCAAATTTCTATACTTCAGAACTAATTTCTAGTCCTTTTTATTCATAAAGAGTAGTTAAAATCTGAACATTCTGACTACCAATTATTGATGTGTAAAAATACATTATACATAACCTCAGATTTGTGCAAACCTGCAATAATTGGCTGATACATTTCTGGAGAATTTTCCATCCAACCAATAATGTTCTTTATATTTACCGTATTTCTCACACAAGAAAATTTTCACTATTAATCTAAATATATAGCTACATTTTGGACTTAAAATACCATCTGAAATTTGTTGTGATTAGTTTTGCCATAAGCTATGAATGTGTTTTGTCCCTGTTTGTTATGTTGCATATATGTTTTCCTTTTTATTTGTTATGAGCGTGGTTTATTTTAATAAAAGCATCTTGTTTTTTTGCAGATTCAACATTTACATCTAATAGTATATAAAGAGTACTGTATTTGTCATAAATAATATCCCCATATTATAATGGATTTTTCAACTGTTCTGTTCTACAAAGTACCTGTCAATGTGTGTGTGTGTGTGTGTATATATATATATATATATATATATATATATATATTAAAAAAAAATATATATATATATATATATATATATAAATATATATAATGCTATTGCATTCATTTCTCACCAAAATTGTTATAAATATATTAGACTTTTTTACTAGCTGTTGAACTTTTCTTGAATCATCTCATATACTGTGTTTTCATCACTGCAGAGACTTTAATTGTAGCTGTAGCATTAGCTGGCACATTTATATTGAATAGAAAATGTAAAACAAATTGCAGTCATTTTGCACATACTAATTATATGTTATATATTACTCATACCTCTAAAGCTAATTGGTAAAGCCTAACAAACATGTTCAGATCTAACTGTCTCTATTAAAAAAAGTCATTGACTTAATCATGTTCAGCCCTATATAAATGGGTTTTTTTTTTTACTGTGCCATTCATTATTTCAAGAAATAATTATTATTTTGATCACTAGGTCAGAATAAACAGAGCAATGAATATAAGCAACATATACTCAACTATAGAAAACTATAGCTAGAGAACATATGTTTATGTAGGCCCAGCAGACCTGTGTTCACTTCAACGCCAAGTCAGATTAAGAGTTATTTCTCATTGTTTTAATATCAATTAACTCAAATGAAACTTTGAATTTAACCTAGGTTAAAGAAATCAGTTTGAAATGTAATCCATATAGTAGATCGCTCTTGAAATGGATATTCAACGCAATACATTTTATATACTGTATGTCTTAGCACTTTCACTATTATGGTGCCCATTCAGACAAACATAAAATCTTTACAGAGGACAGTGGTACCTTTGTAAGAAACAAACACATTAAATCATGAACATTAATGACATTTTTGTAAATCACAGTGTTCATGTTCCAAAACTCACAGGTATCGAACAAAGGTTAATATGACATGCAAAAACAAACTTATAGCTTTAAGTTTGCCAGTGTATGATGTTTGTTGCCAATTATTGTACAATTAATAGCTGTTTATAGCATGGTAGTCCATCCATGGTAGTTAATAGCATGGTAGTCCATCTAAATCAGTTAAAAGTGTTTCCAACTTTAAAACTTATGACAGGGTACATAAAAGAGAGAGGCCAAGGTTTCAAAAAAGTTCCTATATTCTCAAAAGTCACAACCAGCATCTTTTAAACTTTAAAATGACTGCATATGACCTGTTTATATAAAGTGGGTGACCAGCTTTCCTTAAGTGAATACAAACTATGTTCAATTCTCAGAAAGGCCTTTATGATTATATGACGTAGTTGATAAAATATTTCTTTAAAGCTGGAAGAAAACATACAAGATGCAGCAAGCACTTTTTAATTTGTTCTATTAACACATCACAAAGGACTTAGTAAATTAAACTTTTCAAAAGGCCAAGTTTTTAATATATACATTAAAATGACTAAAGCTTGAAATTGCTGCACATATTAAATGGGTTGTTTAGAATTAATAACTGATATATTAGTTATTTATGTTATGTTAGTGTGTATGTTTTTTTTTAGAAAATAACTATTAGAAAACAATTGATGATGTTTCCAAAGCCAATCGTTTGTAATGAATTATTTTGATGTACTCTAAAATGTGCTTTATATATATGCAGAGCATATTTATGTTTAAAAATACGTTTTTCTTAAATAATGTGCTTTATATATATGCAGAGCAGCAATAATATTTATGTTTAAAAATACGTTTTTCTTAAATAATGTGCTTTATATATGCAGAGCAGCAATAATATTTATGTTTAAAAATACGTTTTTCTTAAATAATGTGCTTTATATATATGCAGAGCAGCAATAATATTTTGTTTAAAAATACGTTTTTCTTAAATAATGTGCTTTATATATATGCAGAGCAGCAATAATATTTATGTTTAAAAATACGTTTTTCTTAAATAATGTGCTTTATATATATGCAGAGCAGCAATAATATTTATGTTTAAAAATACGTTTTTCTTAAATAATGTGCTTTTATATATGCAGAGCAGCAATAATATTTATGTTTAAAAATACGTTTTTCTTAAATAATGTGCTTTATATATATATGCAGAGCAGCAATAATATTTATGTTTAAAAATACGTTTTTTCTTAAATACGGACATTTGGTGTAACAGTAGCATCATGATAAACACTCCTAATGGTATTTTATATTTAATTTAATCTGTGCAAAGTAGTGATGCATTTTAGTGAGATGGTCTGTAACACCTATTAATTAAAAATTCAAAATCTTACACTCGATCCCCAGCCATCTGCGTCCACTAATTTACTATTCTGAGCTTAGGAACAGCTTAGATTTTTTTTGGAAGCTAGTAATAGCAGTTTTGACACCATTTGTTATTATATTTCAACTGATGAACTTTTTGTTGTTCAGTCTCAACTTTCCTATTCTGAGATTAATGAGCTTCAATTGTGTATTGTTATGCAGTCACTAATCTGTTCGTTTTAAATGAGGCCTGCAAGGCATTTCTTTGCAATTGCTTACAGGCCCCTCTGGCAGAAAACAGTTTATTATGTGATTGCTTTAAATTGTCTGTGTGCAATCAAGATAGACATTGGAATAGTAATAGTGTACATTTCTTTATTTTTACACATAACGTCAACAGAGTTTCTTTTTTTAACAAATGAACATAAAATATCCTTTTAGTGCATGAATTAAACACAGTCTTCAAGTAAAATGTTAAAATGAAATCATAAGGTAAAATATAGCATCAGATCTGGCTTTTACAGATGGGTTAAAAAACAAACAAGCAAGACCACAGAAGTTTAAAACACACTTTCGGGACTGCGGTGATACCTTAATCAAGCCGTGTCAATTACTGTGTGAACAAGCATCTGCTTTATCTTAATTAGAAGGGGGGAGGGAGGTGATTGACCACTGTTTATATTCATTTTCCTCATTAATTATGAAAAACTGCATTTAATTCATCTTGCATGGCGAGAGACTGGCTGCGCAGATGGAAGTCATAAGGGAAGTGGCTGTCTGTAGGCAACTTGAACATAGAGCTCTGCCCGAGGGGACCCCTGCCTGGCACTGCACAGTAATGCATGCCATAATTGTAATTTTTCCCATAGTCCAAGGCCTCTTCTTGCTTCAGGGAAAATATCCCATTATAGTTCATAGAGGGAGGGCTTAAGGGACCTTCAAACTGAGGGCTGGTGCACTCAGGAGAAGTGCTTTCATAAAAGGATTCATAAGCACTACAGTAATTGTAAGGTTTTCCTGTCTTGTAATTGTCAAGACTCCCATGGCCTGGTGGGGTACTAAGCTCAGGACTGTGATAAGGAGGGTAAATAGAGCTGTAGGGAGATCTTCCATGTTGCACTGTGTCTCCACTCTGACCCATGAGAAAACTTCTGGCATTAAGCTGCAGGCACCCAGCCACCAAATTTGTGGTAGGCTGAGACAAACCTTTGCATAAATTTTGAACAAAGGTGAGAAGATCTGGTCTCTTCCCAATCCTGAGTATCTCAGACAGAGCCCAAATGTAGTTTTTGGCCAGCCTCAAGGTTTCTATTTTAGAAAGCTTTTGTGTCTTGGAATAGCAAGGTACAACTTTCCGTAAATTGTCCAGTGCATCATTGAGCCCATGCATCCGACCCCTTTCTCTTGCATTAGCCTCAACTCGTCTTACTTTTATCCTCTCTATCCTAATCTTGGTCATCTTTTTTTTCCTTGGCCCCCTCCTTCTTGGCAATCCATTTTCATCTTCTTCCTCCTTGTCCTCTTCCTCTTCTTCTTGCTCTGTTTCCTCTTCAGGGGACCTTTTGATATTTTTCCCATGGGACACTAGCTGTTTAGCGCAGCTTTCTGGTTTCTTTGCTGCTTTTTGATCCTCACTTTCCCGTGCATATTTTTTACAAAGCTGCGATTCCGTCATCACAACAGATTCATCAAAAGGAAGTGTTAACATTGCTGCTTAGAATAAATTCCCCTGAAATGACAAAACCATATGTAGTCATATTACTGATAAAATAGCCATCCAGTACAAGGTGCAACTACTGCTGGCAATATTTCCACATAAAAAATATTTCTTACTATAACGAGAACTCGTTCGGAACTGCCAAATCTGCTTAAAACAAGCATTGAGAAATTGCACTTCCCAAAATCATTTTAATAGAAAAAAGTCCAAAATAAATCCAGTTCCCACCTATCGACGAGCTCTGCAAAGCAATTTTCCTGCAAACTAAACAGGTAAACATTGTGACATCTACTGATTGTTTTATTCTGCCTAAAAGATGGTTATTAGATATATAAACTATTTTAAAAATTGCAATTGTTAAACAGGGACATAGATGAATAGCAGCCATCATATTGAGAATATCCTCAAAAATAACTTCTTAGCACTCCACCACTCTTTTCCTGCATTTAAACACTAATGCTCCTCGAAAAGGGAAAGTGACATGTCATTTTCTTTCCATTAGTCAAATGGCTATACAGTTATATAACAAGCATCAAATCAAAAGTGAAAACAATCTTTCTCTTAACAAATGAGCATTTTAGAAAGCAATCTTTTCATTAGAAAAATCTGCAGACCAAGTTTAAACATGCAAGCTATACTGTGGTCATTAGAAGGAGACAGTATTGTCTTTTCAGTAAAGAGCCATATGACTTGATAATGATAACCGGAATGACAATAAACAATCACAAACAATAGCTGTTAGTACCTAACATAGCATGCAAGATAAATATATTAAAGCTGAAAAAATTACCTTCAGACTTGTTTAAATTAGCAAGCAGTTTTCATTTTTTTGTCTTCTAAATTAGTCCGAATGTCGCATCATCTCCAGGAGTCTAGATATGTGTGTATCTCATTGATCTCTAAAAAAGTGACATTGATGCCAACTGCCAGAGCTGGTACCCATGCCATCTGCTGGTGACGTCACAGGGCAGAGAACCACATGATGCATTCCCCAGGGACCTTCATTCTGCACTGATCATCTGGCATCCCTGTAAGTTGGTACCAGCATTCATGTATTAACACAGAAGGTTAGACTGATAAAAAAAAAAAAATATCTACACCAGCATTTCACATACAGGCGATGCAGTTCCATGAGAGTGACTCCTTTTTTTTCCCAGGGAATCTTAAGGGACACATTAAATAGAAGGCAGTGATGCCAATGTTAAGTTCTCATCTCCAAATGACACAGCATGGAATGAGGTGAATACATGCCTCTGATGCTATGTCAGTTTGCTTACATTAAATTAACTCATTATGAACTCCGTTTACTCGCTGTGCTTAAATACAAGTAAATGTCCTTTTTTTTTTTTTTTTTTTTTTTTTAATATATAAATTTCTCTTATGTCTTATTTAAAAATAATACTTAATAAAAATATATATATATTAAATTCTGAATATAGTATCTTTTTTATATCAAAAGACACACTCCCCTTTTATAATAATTTCTACCATGAGTAAAGAAAATATGTAATATTATTATTATTATTATACAGTATTTATATAGCGCCAAAGGGTATGCTCAGCGCTGTACAGTAGCAAGGGGGACAGAACATGAGACAAGACAGGAACAATACAATACACGAGGGGTTCTAATAAAAAAAAAAAAAAAAATAGATCACTAATGTTTTGTAATATTATTTTTTCACTGTACATCTAACAAACATTTTCTTAGCTGTACCTGCTTACTGTAAATGCAAAGTTAATGCTACTACATACTAATACTACATCAATATGACTTGGTTATGATATAACTGGGTATGACATGTATTGGATTTGACAGTGAACTATTTATTACGCTTTTTTACTTTGAATTAATGTTAATGATAACATTTTAGTAATATTAATCAAAAAATAATAGTGTAGATAGAAGAATGTTGGGTGTTTAACCCTTTGAGGACCAAGGGACATATTTGTCCCATGTTTTTAATTGCGTGTATCATCTGATTAAGAACTTAAAACTCTATTACTCTGGAGTATGGAGCCTTAGTGGGGGCCCCAGGGATGGGAGCCTACCTACAGGCTGGTTGCTAGACAGGAGGATCTCTACTCCCCAAATCTCCCAGAGAGGACATCCTGGGCAGCAAGGAAGGAGCCAGCTACCGAAAGGCCTGAATGCGGCTACCAAGCCGCCATGCTGACAGAACAGTGTGAGTATTCTACACCCACAGGGCCAGATAAAGTGAGAGGGCGGTCAGGCGCAAGACCCAACTAGTTCTCATTCACGACTACTGAACTGCTAGATCTCGGAATCCCTTGTGAAGGGATGCCCTCAATGCTGCTGCGTAAAGTGGAGGATTCATCTGGGGTCTGAGGAGGTACACAAAGGGGACTTCAGTGCTCCTTAACAGAGACAGTTGCTATTTTTTGATCCACATTTTGAACAGTATTGTTGCTGAGAAGTTTGTCCTTAGGTTTGCAGTTCCTTGGGAATCTCCTATACAGCTAGACCCCCATACAATTTGTTAACCCTTTGAGGACCAAGGGACGTATTTGTCCCATGTTTTTAATTGCGTGTATCATCTGATTAAGAACTTAAAACTCTATTTTTTTTTGGTTTGAGTCAAAATATTAGTTCTTATCAACAAACAACAAATGGATCTAGCTTTTTGCCAATTATTTCATGAAATGGCTTAGTTACAGCGACTGAAGTGTACGAACTTTAAAAACAAAAAAATTGATTCTTTTGGCGTTCCAAAACCTTACGGTCCTCAAAGGGTTAAGTAAATGTTCACTAAAATCTTATATAAGCTTTAATGTGTTAATTTAATTTCCAGATTTTTTTTCACATTTTTAAGCTGCAGCTTTTATTAAAAGATGATTGACAGGATCCTGGGTGACAACGCTCCGTCCCTTTCTTTCTAAGGTGCTCCTGTGTTGTCACGCTGTCAAAAAAAACCTCCGATATAGAACACTACAATACATATATATTATGCAGGCATTGTCCACTGTCATCCATCCGGAACCCTGCCCAAAAAGACACCATGCAGCCATCACTAGAGTGAATGCATGTAGGCTAGAAGTGGCCACAAAGAGGCCACTTGGTGCGCTTCTTGTTTTTTGGCCACAAAGAGGCAGCAGGGGATTAGCAGCATTGAACTGAAATAAAGGATGAAAAAAGGTGAAAAAAAGTATATTCTTTAATAGCATTTGTTTATGGCACATAGTGCTTTAGAAATGTAACTGTCATTTGGCTGGGTGGGGGGGTTGGGGAATCATGTACGTGAAAACTGAACTCAAAAAAGCTAACTACACAGTTAAAATACATACATGTCTATTGTTTTATCTGCCAAAGGTTTTTTTATTTTTTTTTATTTTAGTCCATACTCTCCTGAGATATAAGCAGCCCTGCCAAGCAGGAATACTAGGTCAGTGACTTGATTTTCCCTCATTGAAGTTAAAGCAGGACTCCAGAGAAAATTTGTATTTCACCATGTAGTGGGGCTGTGCCCCCACTGCATGAATCAACTTGTCATTTTTTTCTAGGGGTGAGCCCAAAGCTCATACTCACCTGACCCACCGATCCTCTCAAAAACCACGCTCCCCCACGGTCCAGTGATGGACTATTCCTATCTATGGAGCATGCATGTGAGTGTGCTGACATCAGGAAAAGTCCATTTACAAGTCCGCTGGATCACGGAGGGGCAGGAGCTGATGGGACTAATCTTGTGCAGGGAGGATTGTCGGGCAGGTAGGTATATCTCCGCTGTCCTCTCTCCCCTAGAACAAAATGAGCAGTTAACCCATGTAGTGCGGGCACAGCCCCAATGCACGGGCATAAAAAGTGTTTGCCCGAAGTTCTTCTTTAACCACTTGCCCTCCTGAGGATTTACCCCCCTTAATGACCACGCCTCTTTTTGCTACTCGGCGCTGCACTAATTCAACTGATAATTGCGCGGTCATGCAATGCTGCACCCAAACGAAATTTACGTCCTTTTTTTCACACAAATAGAGCTTTCTTTCGGTGGTATTTGATCACCTGTGCGCTTTTTATTTTTCACGCTATAAACAAAAAAAGACCAAAAATTTTGAAGAAAAACTATATTTTTTACTTTCAACTATAAAAAATATATAGTAAACTCAAAGTTGGTTATAAATTTAGGCCAAAATGTATTCTGCTCCATGTTTTTGGTAAAAAAAATCCCAATGAGTGTATATTGATTGCTTTGTGTGGAAGTTATAGCGTCTACAAACTATGGTATAGATACTGCAATTTACGCCATTTTTTTGCTATACAGCGCTGCGCTAGTTTAACGGAGAATTGCGCGGTCATGCAATACGGTACATAAATGAAATTTACATCCTTTTTTCCCACAAATTGAGCTTTCTTCGGTGGTATTTGATCGCCTGTGTGTTTTTTATTTTTTGCACTATAAAAAAAAAAGGCTGACAATTTTGAGGAAAAAAAAACAATATTGTGGACTTTTTGCTATAAAACATGTCCAGTAAAACAAAATGTAAAAATCAAATTTAGTCATAAATTTCTGCCAAAATGCATTCTGCGACTTGTCTTTGCTCCTAAAAACCCAATACGTGTAAATTAATTGGTTTACGTGAAAGTTATAATGTTAACAAATGGCGGGAAAGATACTGGGATTTTAAATTTTTTTTATACTAATAATGGCGGCGATCAGCGACTTATGGCGGCGATCAGCGACTTATGGCGGGACTGCGGCGGACATTCTGACACTGGGGGGGAACTGACTTGGGGTCACTGATATCCCCAGTGACACCAATACAGTGATCAGTGCAAAAAAAAAAACACTGACACTGTACTAATGGCACTGGGGAGGAAGGGGTTAACTTTATTATTCAGGGAAAGGGTTAACTGTGTGAGGGGAGTGTTTTACTAGGGGGCGGGGTGTGTACTGCAGGGAACACCACTGATCGGGAGAGATAAACTCTTCTGTCCCGATCAGCGTGTCAGGAGCTGTCAGGGAACTGACAGAAAGCAC